CAAAAGTGATATTGGTGTCCAGTTTTTTAGAAATAATTTAGATTTGTTTTCTTTAGGCAAACATGTAATCAATACTTGTTTTTGTGTTATTGATAAAGATTGATTTCTGTATTCATAATTAAGAAAATTGATCAGATATTTACCAATGTCATTCCAAAAGAATTTAAAATATTCTGATGTAAAGCCATCAGGTTCAGGACTTTTATCATTTTTCATATTTTTTATGCTACAAGAGCTTCCTCATAAGATATTTCACCTTCTAAATCTAATGAAATATTTGTGTCTAGTCTTGGAATATTTATCTCAATGAAAAGCTCTTCTAAATTAATTTCTGTACATTTTTCACTGGAATATAATTTTTGATAAAATAATTTTGTTTCTTCCAGTATCTCATTTTGGTTTTTTTAATTACTGTTCCATAACTTTTTATGAATTCACTAATATATTTATTTTTAAATATTCTATGTTCTAAATGCAGAAAATATTTACTTGGTTTTTCCCCATACTCCATTTTGCTTTTGACCTGACGAATAGTCCCTGGGTCTTAAGTTTATATTTATCCTCCCTTTCTACTTTTAGTTCATCTATGGTGCTCAATATTTTGGTCTTTTCCGATTCTAATTCTACATTATCTATATTTGTTTCCAGATCATTCAGTTTAGTTTCTAATTCTATTACTCTAGCAAAAGTTTGTTTTGTTTTGTTTTTGTTGATGAATAACATATTGACTCTCATCTAATAGCAAGTAATATGGTTTCCCATAATAACTGATCATTAATCACATACCTTTTACCATCCAAATATGTTTTATCCTAATATTGATTAAGGGTAAACTTTATCATTTTCTTTATTTGTTCAACATATTCCTTATCATACAAAAAATAATTATTAAATTTCCAATACCCTTTTCCTCTCTCCATATGTGATAAATTAAATGTCATCGAAATCAAAGAATGATCAGAGTTTAAACTTTGACTAATATCACATTTAATAATTGAATACTGAAAATGTTGTGAGATTAAAAATAATCTAAGCGGGCCTGTTTCATTGGATTTGGCTGACGTCATGTAAAACGCTTTTCATTTGGATTAGATTCCCTCTATGGATCTTTCAGATCCAACAGATCCATTATTTCTAAAACAACCTTTCTGGATTTAGGATTATTTATATGTTTATAATTAAATGTATCCAAATCTATATATTGTATTAAATTCCAATCTCCACATAAAATCACTCTGTCCCCTTCTAATTCAGTTGTAACTTCTTTTATATTTTCAAAAAAATCTGGTTTATCCAAATTTGGCCCATAAATATTAATTAGTGTGTATTCATATTTTTGTATTTCTAGATTTACGGCAACATAATTTCCTTCATCCTTATCAAATTATACTTTGGTAACTTTGAACTCAAAATTATTAAATAAAATTGCTGTCCCTCCTGCATTGCTTTTAAAAAGGGCAATATAACATTCTTTATAACCCAATTGCTGCTTCATTAGTTGTTCTTGATCTGCTGTAAAATGAACATCTTGTAGACAATAAATGTTCAATAAAAATTCAAATATTTGTTTTCTCTTAAATGCGCCTCATAGGCCTCTATAGTTTTATATCACAGTTAATTTATTTTTCCTCATAATTAAATTTACTCATATCTATATATTGTACTGAATATACTTTATTAAATATTGTAAAGACTATCATCACATCAAGTTTGCACATGTAGACCCTATATTGAAAAGGGTGGGATTTGTTATATAGAAAACTAAATTCATATAACTGTATCAAAATTATACTCAAAACGACTTCCATTTGGAATCATTGTTCGCTACAACCCAGCTTTATGAAATAATGTTCCTATATATGCCTCTTTGTACAATATTATTAAGAGTACCTGGCCGTAGATAGTTCTGTTAATAAAGAATAGAGGTAATAACGGAGAGATACCTCTCTCTAAAAATAAGGCTTGGATGCTTTGGGGCTCCAAATGCACCCAATATATGCATCAGTCAGTTTCCATTTGCACAGTTCAGCATGAGGAGCTGAGGTAGGGCCTACCGAGTAGATTTGAGATCTAGGGCCGACAAAACATTCAGTCCCGGATTTGTATCCATCAATCAGAAAGTTCACAGTTTTGCTCATACTGAGTGTTAAGTTAAGGCTTGAGTAGTTTGGGGCCCCAAATGCCCCCAATTATAAATGAATCAGTCATTTTTCATAGTTCATATAGCTACGATAGGCCATCTTGGTGCGGATCTATATATAGACCGGAAGTTCGTCATGATTGGTCCATTGTCCAAAATATAAACAAAAATACGTGGTTTCTTAATCCACTATAAACAAACGTTTTCATCAACTTTTCACTTGATCCATTGACTGTTTTTAATGAATAATTATAAAATGTAACTTAGACAAAAGCATCATTTTCTTGATTCACAATAATCAAAGTAATTACTGTAAATTTCTCTTTCTAGAGAATAAATCACTAGATATTTTCAAAAATACACCACAAATATTTCAAATTTAAACTTGCTTCAATGCTTGGTTAAATACTGCTACCTTACTCACAATGTGAAAACACTATCCAATAAATAGAGTTAAGTATCTCCACTTCCACTTGAAATAGAAATCTCTCGTTTCTGACAGATCTGTACGTTAAAACGCCGCATTTTTTTCAAGTCCGATGTTATGCCACTTATCCTCTTTGTCTTTTCTGTATTGGAGGTAAACATCTGCACCTCTTTCTTGTATCCTTGTCTGATATCGCTGATTTTTCTGGATCTCGTAAGCTTTGTTGGCCAGTTTTGTCCTGTACTTCTTCAAAACAACTGGGAGATCTGTGTAGATAGATATTTTCCTTTCACGTAGTAATGCCTTGTGTTTGTAACTGGCTTCTAGAACCAATTGTCTGTCCATCATTGTCAAAAACTTAACAATGATTGTTTTGGGTTTATTTGCTGTAGCGGGCGTAGTACTGAAACGAGGTAAACGATGACTGTTCATAAATTGCATTTCCTCGGCCATTGTAATTCCCATTTCCCCGAGTATCTCCCTATATGCTTTGTTTGGGTCCTCACTATCCGGAATTCCGTAGAAAAGCAAGTTCGCCTTTCGGAGATAGACTTCTTGTAACAGCAACTTTTTCTCGATATCAGTGCGGAGATCTTTCAAATCTATTCGTAGATTGTCAATTTTCTCCTTATTATCCTTAATGCCAGTCGCATTGAATTCCACCGCCTCAAGTAACCCCTCAATCTTCGTTTCCAGAGACGCAATTTCGTGCTTAAAATTCGCATTAATTTCTTCCGTTTGTGTTTTTAACAGCATAGTGAAAAGTTGTTTCACTTCTTCATCGGGTGTAATGGCGACCGTCGTGTCGCGGTCCCCCACATCTCCTACATTTTCTGCGTTCATTTCTTCCGTATTGGTAAGAAAATCATCCAAATTTGTGGTTTGTTGTTTAGATTGAACTTTTCCCTTGCTGTTTGATCGGTTTCCTTTTCTTGTAGAGGACATTATTTGTCAAGATTACTTGGATTTTCGCGAGGGATCGTTTTACCCGCCCTACTCCATGCGCAGCACCACCGGAAGTCGTACTGTGATATAAAGTGTTTAGTTAAAGCGATGCTAACACTGTTGGGTTAAAATGTTTACATTTAAGTTGAATTCTAATAACCATTAAACATTGTTGTAAAATAAATGTTAATGTTACGTGTTCACTTAAGAACCAAACAATCCTCGGTCTATTTAGCTTTGGAGGTAAGGAAGGGTTGCTTTAGTCTATCAGCCATGAAGACCATAGGAGGATTTATATCATTGTTCACTGTAGTCTCGAAAATCTATTTCTAAAATAATAGAAGTATTATTGGCAACTTGTAGATGTTGATATGGATATAACATTTTACAGTTAGCCAAAGCGGCGTAAAACCATATTCCCTTACTCACTCCTGTCTTCCAGCATTCACAACCAACATGTTCTCCTTCGCTCAAATATCTCAATTCTGAACTTGTGTTAATCAAGCTTATGTTGCTGTTGACGGTGTTCTGTCAAAGTACCTGAATTGTGAGTGAGTGAGTATGGTTCTACTCCGCCTTTAGCAATGTTCCAGCAATATCTAGGCGGGGGACACCAGAAATGGGTTCGCACATTGCACCCATGTCGGGAATCGAACCCGGGTCTTCGGCGTGACGAGCGAACGCTTTAACCACTAGGCTACCCGACCGCCCCACCTGAATTGTGAAGTCCCGTCACTTGCCAAAGATATTATTTGTGGTTGCTTAATTCCTTTGAAGTTTGTGAGAATCGCAGATGGTATTTTTCGTATTTCAAATAAAGCTTTCATGTAATAGCTGCTCTTTTAAATTTCATTGTTATTTTATGTTACTGTTTTCTAGCAATGATACACTTTTTTTTATTCATGTCATCCTTATTTAAGAAATAGTTGATCGTTGTACATTTGTCTGTATATAATATCATGTTAGAGGAGAATTCATTATAAGACGCAGTAGTACATCACCGAGACAACCACTTTCAGTCAACTTAACGCCTGGTAAACGAAGTATCACTTGACAATGTCTGCTTCACTCTGTTCAAGACTGTCTACTGTGATGTTGCAGCTTAATATGTTACTTGTGACGTCGTGAGGACGTTACTTGTGACGTCATGATGACGTCACTTGTTGTGAGAAACTCATTGATATGATGCATGTAATATCGCCTACGATACCCGTATCAAATACATCCCCATCGAATAACCATTCCTTGTTTGTTTCATTTGTTAGCAACCATCAAACGGTAAAACACAATCGGGATGTGTTTTTTTTAATAATTTTCTGACGGCAACAGGTGCCATCAGGGAGAAAGGTAGAGGGGGTCGGTGGCACTAGGGAGAAGTTGGCAGAGGGGGTCGGTGGCACTATAGGGAGGTTAACAGAGGGGGTCGGTGGCACCAGGGAGGAGTTGACAGAGGGGTCGGTGGCACCAGGGAGGAGTTGACAGAGGGGGTCAGTGGGACCAGGGAGAAGTTGACAGAGGGGGTCGGTGGCACCAGGGAGGAGTTGACAGAGGGGTCGGTGGCACCAGGGAGGAGTTGACAGAGGGGGTCAGTGGGACCAGGGAGAAGTTGACAGAGGGGTTCGGTGGCACCAGGGAGGAGTTGACAGAGGGGGTCGGTGGCACTAGGGAGGAGTTGACAGAGGAGGTCGGTGGCACTAGGGTGGAGTTGACAGAGGGGGTCGGTGGCACCAGGGAGGAGTTGACAGAGGGGGTCGATGGCACCAGAGAGGAGTTGGCAGAGGGGGTCGGTGGCACCAGGGAGAAGTTGGCAGAGGGGGTCGGTGGCACCAGAGAGGAGTTGACAGAGGGGGTCCGTGGCACCAGGGAGAAGTTGACAGAGGGGGTCGGTGGCATCATGGAGAAGTTGGCAGAGGGGTCGGTGGCACCAGGGAGGAGTTGACAGAGGGGGTCGGTGGCACCAGGGAGGAGTTGACAGAGGGGGTCGATGGCACCAGAGAGGAGTTGACAGAGGGGGTCGGTGGCACCAGGGAGAAGTTGGCAGAGGGGGTCGGTGGCACCAGGGAGAAGTTGACAGAGGGGGTCGGTGGCACCAGAGAGGAGTTGACAGAGGGGGTCGGTGGCACCAGGGAGAAGTTGACAGAGGGGGTCGGTGGCATCATGGAGAAGTTGGCAGAGGGGTCGGTGGCACCAGGGAGGAGTTGACAGAGGGGGTCGGTGGCATCATGGAGAAGTTGGCAGAGGGGTCGGTGGCACCAGGGAGGAGTTGACAGAGGGGGGCGGTGGCACCAGGGAGGAGTTGGCAGAGGGGGTCGATGGCATCATGGAGAAGTTGGCAGAGGGGTCGGTGGCACCAGGGAGAAGTTGGCAGAGGGGGTCGGTGGCACCAGGGAGAAGTTGACAGAGGGGGTCGGTGGCACCAGAGAGGAGTTGACAGAGGGGGTCGGTGGCACCAGGGAGAAGTTGACAGAGGGGGTCCGTGGCACCAGGGAGAGGTTGACAGAGGGGGTCGGTGGCACCAGGGAGGAGTTGACAGAGGGGGTCGGTGGCACCAGGGAGAAGTTGGTAGAGGGGGTCGGTGGCGCTAGGGAGAAGTTGACAGAGGGGGTCGTGGCACCAGGGAGGAGTTGGCAGAGGGAGTCGATGGCACCAGGGAGGAGTTGAGAGAGGGGGTCGGTGGCAGCAGGGAGAAGTTTACAGAGGGGGTCGGTGGCACCAGGAAGAGGTTGACAGAGGGGGTCGGTGGTCAATTTCTGATGGTTGCGATTACATGGATGCCCTAGTCTTGCCATAGTTTCTAGGTTTTCCCTTTGTCAACGAGATACTATACATGTACACCTTATCAAAAACGCGATTGTCATTGATCTAAATAGACTCTTTAGGTCTTCGAAGACTTTTGTTTGATTTCTGTTACATGTACATCTTAGAAAATATGTGTTGTACAAATGTTGAATTAAATCTCTTCAGCAGAGATGGTCAAACGAGCTATTCTAAAGCGTTATGAAAACAAAGAAGATATTCGTGCACGTATGTGTTGTTTCATATTACAGTAAACTATGGTTATAACGAACTCGAAGGGACCACTACTTTTAGTTCGTGACTGAGTGAGTGGAGTGAGTATGATTTTACGCCGCTTTTAGCTATATTCCAGCAATATCACGGCGCGGGACACCAATAATGGGCTTCACACATTGTACCCATGTCGAGAATCGAACCCGGGTCTTCGGCGTGACGAGCGAACGCTTTAACCACTAGGCTAAATGTTAGTTTGTAATAACCGTAGTTCGTTATAAGCATATATACAGCATTTATACGACAAATGGTCGGGACTAAAAAATAAGTTTCTTATATCGGTCAGTTTGTTATAAACGTGTTCGTTATAAACGTAGTTTACTGTATTTTGAGGTTTGAATACACCCAATATGGTGACTGTCATTTGGAGACTGTCATCGCCAGGAGCACAACCATTCGGACACTCTGGGTAATGCAGAAGGCTGCCGTGCTGGGGAGTCCTCCTGTTCTCCGAAAGGTGTATGGTGGGTTCGACCAGGCAGCTCTTCCTGGGAGAAGTCTCAATCTCTGTCTGGGCTTCTTGCAGAGGATCAAGGCCTTACAAGCCTGACTGTGCCAGGATCACCCAAACCCTCTTTGCTACATATTTTTTTAATTTAATCTGTATAAATAGCAAAGCAACATGAACGGACAGAATCACACAGTTGCGGGTCTTTTTAAACTATCAGTGAGTGAATTAATATTTAACGTCACATCGGCAATATTGCAGCCATATCGTTACGAGACAAAATTTGACTTTAATAACATATATGTACACTGTATAAAATTCTGTCGACGAAGGACAGTAAAACAACTAGATTATCACAGATATATGTTTAAAACTAGTACATAACCATAAAATATGACAATTCATAACATTACAATAGATCCAATTGGGCTATATATCACCAGCAACTAAAGTGAGGTCACCATACTGAGGACCATGGGGACTTACAGTACCTTTGCTACCTGCATGGACCCCAGCAGGATTTACACCATCCCTTTAGTCACTGGCGACCATTGACAGGGTTTAGCCGGAGATTTAAAACAAACAAATATTCTACGATTAAAAAACTGGCAGATATAAAATTACTTTGATTTATGTGGGCTTCCATATCCACTCAGGGGGACAATAATTTTATGCTACTTCAACCCCCTTCGAGGATATAGCCACTAACAATCTCAGTTAATGATCATATACTACCAATTTATAAAATATATATATCTCTGTACATCAAAATTTATTAATTAATTATATTTCCTTTAAAAAAACGATGATTAAAGGAGGATGTATTTGATTAAAAAGATCCGTTATTGATGACATTTTGAAATATTTATCCCTTGTGATGGAAAAATCAACACAGTCAAGCAAGACATGCTTTACAATGATTCTTTCATCACAAGGGATACAATTTTAAACTATCAACGCCAGTTTAAAAATTTAGAAATACAAAGTACAGCATTTGGAGAATCCAGGACACGATCTTCGACTTGATAATCATAAACTCAAGAATAGTCTCACGACGATGTCACCACGTGGTCACGAGACGGCGAGGAGCACAACACAGAATGCGGGATGTTGTGTACTAGGAGCACAACATTAAGGGCATTCATACACTCGTCACTTGAAATAGTACTCACAATGTGTGATTGTCACTGTTGTCATCGTTCAATCGGGGGCACGGGTGGCCCAGACGTCTAGGGCGCCGCGATATGCTGTGCAGAGTTGCGTCCCATGTGCACGCCAGAAATCTATGATTGTGGGTTCGAACAGAGACCATATAATAGAGGGACGGCCCTCTTGCCTATGCGCGAAACCATCAGTGCTACGGCTTGTACTGCGCAGCCTGTCCGGAAGCGAGCAGAAACGCGTTCACTGCAGTCATCGTTGTCGCCTTTTTTTCCCATGCAAAATCTATATTTTACAATACAAAATTACACTCATGTATTTCTTAACATTGGTAACATTACAACTGAGATTTGTTGGTGCCCTAAAGCATGTCGTTGTCACTGTATTTGACGACTGTGATCATGCTTTGTCTTTGTCCGAGAGAACAAAATGGCGCACATGTAAAATCGGCAAAAGTGCAGATTTTGATTTTCAATAACGGCCTCTAATTCGCAATGAAAGTCCTTGGTTACCAAGGTGTATAAAAAGGAAATATGTTAAAAATTGGCTTAGTGCCATTTACAAATTTAGGGCGGATGCGAAATTTCAGATTTTGACTCCAGAAATGGGACTAAATCTGACTTTTCCCGAAATAATTACACCACAACTCTTAATTTTCGCATGCTTTCAGACGAATGTGTTCCTATCATCGGTCCTGAATTAAATAGTTTTACATTCATCACGATTTCCCCTTTGGCTTGGTACCAAAGTTATTTAGGTACGATCGGTAGTTTTTTTTGTATGGTTTTTGGCGCAAGGCCATATTTTACGTCACATATTTTAAGTTAAATTACCATATAGCAGACGACATAACATGCATTTTGTCTGTGATTATCATCCGAATATATCTTTTGAAACATTATACAAAGTGACTTATATTGTATGATATTAGAATTGTTTTTGTAAGACGCATATTTTTTTACCATTGCTTTCGCCATTTCTTCGTAAGTTTAACTTTGTTTCAGTTAGGCTTCTATCACATATCGCGCATATACTACATACTACAATTCTACATATTTGTTATCTTCTGTAGATTTTGTCTGTATTAATCATGACTACATTTAATCAGTTATTTATTTTATGCCGTGTAAATATTGATTATGAGCAAAATGATCTTGGCCTAAACCCAATCATAATAATGTAAATATGATGAAGGTACTACTTACTTTGTGTATTTACACAACAATGAAAACATCATACAAAAATAAAAATCCATTACATGAAATATTTGTATTAGAATAGTAGTAGATTTGGTATATTTGTTTATTTATAATAGTTAACAATTGCAGCATAAAATGAGATATGTAAATTGAAATAAATGTACCGGAAGACACACATGTTCAGCAAATAATTTGCAGCCAACTGACATGTGCTAATGAGAGATATCATAAAAAAATCTTTGTAATCCGCTAAGAGACGTCCTTTTATTGGATTGTCGCTGGTCGTAGTCGGAGAAATCTCGGATAAGGGAATTAACTCTTACCCCGGATATTATGTAATATTGTTTACGTGGTTACCAGAATGGTCAGTCGTGAATGTCTGCGCATCTATTGCGCATCTGCAGCGGTACAGGGAGGTTAACAGCAGGGTGTCGGGGTGTATCAGTTACATGCCAGACCGTAGCGCTGATGGTTAGTGATAAACTGTTGGTGAGGGCCGTCCCCTATTATATGGTCTCTGGTTCGAATCAAGGTTCGCCCCGATTATGTTTCTAGGTTTGTCAGCACCATACCCGTGCTCGTGGGTTTCACCAAAGTGGTCAACGTCTGAGACCTCCATCACTTCGGGCTTTCCTCCAACATTAAGCTGACACGCCGCGATATAACTGTAATACTGTTAAAAGCGGCGTTAAGCCCAACTCACTCACTCAATCGTTCAATCCTTTAATTCTGTAAATCATGCAATTATTGCTGGTCGATTCAGATGAGATAGGATACATTGTGTCAACGCCATGTTACAGTGCTGTATCAATTATCAATATAATATCCTATTATTGTTAATATAAACAGTAAAATCATTTCATAATCATAATCAATATCTGATCAACGCACAGTGCATTGTACAATTTCGACAATATCATAAGCATGTGTTTATGAATCACTATCAACTAGACATAAAAACAGGTGTTCACGAAATGTATCCTCAGCAAAAAAACCCGAAAAAAACAACAAAAACA